GATTTCATGGCCATAGGAATTTCCAACCCAATTCTTCATCTCTCTCTGACATGAGACATTCAAACACACAAGGTCTTCTACAGCTACCTATTTGTTTGGCAACAGTAGCTCCTCTCGTGGCCTCACTCAGTGCTTGAATCGTCGAGGTCATAGGAATGTGGTCCGAAATTGTCATAGCCTAAAAATCCATCATTCCTTTCCTTCTAGCTATAGATCACCCACCTCTGTAATGGTATCTAACTCACAACCATGGATCTTGAACTCAGGTGCAACTCATCATTTAACTGCCGATTTGGAAAACCCTAGTGTTCACTTCGATTATTCCGATCCAAAGGAGATCCAAATTGGTAATGGTTCTAAACTCTTTATATCTCATGTTCCCTTAATAATAATTCTTTCAACTTGAATTCTATCTTACATGATTCTAAAGCTCACCATAATTTACTGTTTGTTTCTTTCTTCACAAAATCTAATAATTTTTTTTATCGAATTCTTTGTTGTCAAGGATATTTGCACAAAAAAAGAGCTTTACCACCATCCGATAAATAATGGTATTTATTCTTTGTTTCATTTTTTCATGCCATTGTCTGTTCATGCCAATCTCACGTCACTTTCAACCTGGCATTCTAGACTCATCCATGCTTCAATTTGGATCATTCAATGTACTTTAGTTGATTCTTCTGTTTCCTTTCTAATAAAATGCCTCCAATAAGTTTATGTGATGTTTGGTTTACTAGTAAGGCTAAGAAACTTTCTTTTTCTAATTCTAATTTTTGGGCTGAAGGCTTATTGGATTTAATTTGCTCTGATTTATAGAGCTCCTCTGCTATTTACTCCTCTAAAAGGACATGTTATTATGTTTTATTTTTTCATCACTTTTTTTTTTTTTTAGATCAACAGTACAGAATTATAGCCCAAAACTTATTTCAAAATATGAAGGTACCCATCACTATCGAGATAGCTGGGATACAAATAGCTTGGCACGCTGAATCTACTATTTTCACATCACAGAGGAATTCATCCACGGTCTTGACCTACCTAGATCAGATCAATCACCATGATCAGTACTTTTCTTAAGCTGAAGTTTAGATCCATCAACTATTTTGCTACTGATTTAGCTCATCTAGGTGATTTCCTTTTCTTGTACTGTTTCTGATAATTTGAGTTGGTGCAATTTGAAGGAATAGATTGTCAGAAGGCAGGACTCCGATTCAAGGGCAAGAAAAATATTGCAGGGCTTATAATCTGAAAATGGAATTTGAAGAGAAGATTAGAATATTGGGAATTTTATATGGAGAGATATCATGAAACTGTGCTGCCCTTTTACACCTATTTCATTTGTGGCAACATACTTTCAATGTTACTGGATGGGAGTCATTTTCATGGTGATTTGATGTTGGTAATTGGCCGGATAAACTTTCTATATCATGATAAGAGAGGGGTAGGAAGATTAGCTCTTAAGCAATAGAACTTCATAGAAAGAGGGAACTCTCATGATATGTTAGGCAATACCCTTCTGTAATGCTGCAGCAACAAGGTCTCAATTTATATTTGTGGCTGGGGACATACTTTAGGAAAATTATTCTTTGTTATATGTTTGATGAGCTTCCTGATGTATAATTGGGGGTTGCATACTTGAGACAACTGAAAAAGTTAGTTCTTCATTTTCAAATCCTATTTTAAGAGTCTTTACTCTGTTGGTACTTGGCAGTATTAAATAAGCCATGATAACTCTGTTTCTATTAAGTGGGAGAGGCTACGTACATGACATGCTTCACTGTAGAAATGGGATGAAGTCCTTATCACTTCTCACATTTGGGATTTGGGTATCTTATACCTTGCTATCAATTCCTTGAACCAAGTTGCTGATAATTTTGGAGTTCTCTTCATTGTGGTGTAATCGACATGGTAAAGCCCAAATCTTACGGTATAACCATATGACCACTCAAAATTATCAAGCAAGGACCAGGCAAAATAGCCCCTCACATCTGCTCCTTTCCTGCTCACATTGAAAAGAAAACAGGGTTTAAGCTTTGTGTTTGTAAAACTCTGAAGTTAGCTCTGAAATGGGGTGCATGGCCATGGTAAGAGCTAGTTGAGTCAATATGAAATGCAAAAACAATATGAACTTACTGCATTGCTGTCAACAAGTAATCCCAGTAGTCAGACATGTATTCCACTCTTTCTATATCTTCACAAACAATGGTGAGGTTCGGATTGTTCAGCTGGCCATAACCTACAGAACTCATTGTAATTGCATGAGAAAGACTTGAAAAAGTTTGTCTGCTTAAAGGAATTCTCGTTGTACTTACCGTTCTCTGTAATGATCATGGGTATGTTATTGTATCTCTCCTTTATATAGGTAACAATCTTCTCCATTCCTTGAGGATATACATTTAGCCAATCCACTCCAGTCTACATTAACCAAAAACTTTAAGCAAATTCCTGGGAAGCAAAAATTAATTCTGATGCTTGTGTTAACTTGAGAGGGTACATACAGGTTTGCCGATTGGAACTCCATCTTTTTCTTGACTTTTTTGGGCGAAACCTTCTGTCCTGGAGGCTCCTGTTCCGGGTTCACAAATAGAGAAGATGCAGTCTTGGCTGTATTCAGTAGTGTAATGATTGATGCCAATGAAATCCAGTCCATTCTTCAGTTTCTGTCGGTCATTACTCGAAAATTTCGGTAAACCAGACCCTAGAATTCTGGAGATATCTGCAGGATATTTTCCAAAAATGATTGGGTCCAAGAACCTGCATTATAGTTAAGATACAACAGGTGTCATGTGCCAAATGGATTTACTTACATTTAAACATGCATTGAAGTCATGTGAAAATGTTGAGAAATGTGTAAATGAATGAACCAGTTCATGTAGAAATCTAGAGCTCTGTCAGCGGATAACTTGTCTGCTGTGGAATTGCTAATAGGTTCAAACCAACGGCAAGCTATGACGATCCCAATGCTGCCTCCTTGTTCCTTCTGAATAATTTAACAGGGATTACTAGTAAGTTTATCTGCCCTGAGTGTCTGCTTTCCTCATTTTCCTTTTCTTTTAGCCGCCTCTAATGAAGGGTAAATAAATGATATCAAAGAAATTGTTATGATTTAAATACCTGGTATTTTGTTCTATAAATATCAACTGCAGTTGCATGAGCTAAGATTATATTATGCGCTGCAGTAAAGGGCTCCTTCTCTGAATCCCCATGACTGCAATTTCCGAAAGGACTGGAGCAGCGACTTGGTGGGTATTCGCCCGTGCGATAGCCTTTAATGGCTTGTACATTTGGCTCATTGAAGGTGGTCCAATACTTTACTCGATCTCCGAAGTTCTTGAAACAGGTGTCAGCATAATATCCAAAATCCTCCCTGATTAAGAGAAATGGAAGAAAGGAATCAGCTAATTCTTATAGCCTACATATATATATATAACTAGATAATTGGATGTCTAGTTTATAGACAGCAAACTCCAGAGACTTGTACTTACTGGGATTTAGGACTTAGCAATCCACCATATCTCTTCTCCAGTTCTAGAGGTACATCATAATGTGCTAATGTCACAAATGGTTGGATTCCTGAAGCAAGTTTGAGAAAAACAAATGCATAACATAAACTTTGAAATTGAAGATATTTTCCAGGTTATGATGGTATTTCTCAAGGACTTCTTTGGTTATAGAAAGTAAACCTTTAAGGAGGAGGGAATTGATGAGCTTGTTATAGTAGCTAATGCCAGCCTGATTAATACCTCCAAATCTTCCTTCTGTATCCAAATTGAAACAACTTTCATATCAGCTTTATGTTTTACTCATGTAAGTTCCTGTTGAGAATATGCTGAATTCATAAAACTCTTACTAGGTAGAATTCTTGCCCACGAAATGGAGAACCTGTAGCTATTGACTCCGAGGGAGTCCATTAACTCGATGTCTTCCTGTTAAGATCATTCAATAAATCTTCTGTTTCTCATAGCAAAACGTCATTGGCCATGAATGAACCCAACACTAACCTAACCAATTACTCCCTGGTCACTTTTTATTTTTATTAATTTTTTTTTTTTTTAATTTGGAAAAGGATTGTTCCTAATAAATCACTTCATCAATTCAATAAATATGTTGCTAATCTTTATGTCAAATCTCTTTGAACCTTTGCCTCGTAGGTGGGGTCCAAAAGCCTTATCGTGTCATTCATGTCCATACGTTTAGGCCTTTGAGTGTGATGCAATTAATGTGTCCCAGAAGCTGCTTTTCAATAATTTCATGTACGAGATTTCTATGATATTCTGATGTCATTTGTTTTTTCGTAAGAGAAATTCGAATCATAAAGTCTTTTCGGACCAAAAATTGGACCTCTTTAGAATTGGTTTTTGGTGAATTAATTACCATGCATCTTCTTTCACATCTATAATTGGCAATAGAATAGTGAGTGAGACAGGTACAGTGTGGGAAAATTTATGGAAGATGTGCATTTCTTTTTAATGAAATATTTTGACCAACACCACTGTTACCACCCTTTCAAAATTGTGTCAGGGATGATAGGAATCATCACGTAAAAATATCAAAATAAAAAAGTTAACAATATTAATTATACAGAAAAAAAATTATTTTAAGTAAATAACAAATCATGAAAAAAAATAAAATAAAAGCATTTTGGGGGGGGGGGGTTAGACTGAATGAACAGGGACTTTTTTGTAACAACAATTAAAATTAAGAATTGTTTTGTAAAAATTAGAACTTGATGGACCATATTGTAAAAAAGGTATAAAACGTCCATCGATTACCCCTCCTTTTTTAAAAAAATAAAATAAAATTACGTCTTTTAAGGTAGCGAGAAAAAAAAATTAAAACAACACTGTTTTGTTTATTACAGCAGGGACTTAGTTATAGTAAAATTATATTTAGTTTTAATATATTTATTGACTTAAAACTACGTCGTCTTGTTTAATATAGCAAAAAACTTAGCTATAATGAAACTACATTTAGTTTTAGTTTATTTATTAATTTATACATCACTCAACTACAATATTAGGCCTAACTACAGCTGTTATTCTGAAAAAAAAATTACAGCATGTTTTCCACATAGAGGATAAGAAACAAGGGAGACGATAGAGATAATATTTTCGGTACCAGATACCGATGATACTGGTCGACCGCGACATCTCCATTGCTTCCATCAATTATGTTGCCTACATTAAGGGGTTAAAAAAAAAAAAAAGTCTAAATCATGTTTAAAGCAGTAAAATTGTTTTGTATAAATAACTAATCTCGTTCAAAAACTTAATCTATTAAATGAGGATTTAAAAATAATTTTATATTACTATATAATACAACTTCTTAAACAAAAACTTTTATATTTAAAATTTATATAGATTCAACAATATTTTATGTTTAATTATTTAATTAAAAAAGAAAACAAAAATGGTGAGATAGAAATTTTTAATCGTTTGGATATCAAGACTTTGACATCTATTATGTCAAAAAATTATTTTAACTCAAAAGTTTAAATTGTTAAATAAAGTTTTAAGAATGACTTTATATTACTTTTTAATCCTTTGATGAAAAATTGACAATTTTTAATTTCCTGGATAAGCAGAAAGTAAGTTCTCACCCGGTTTATGGGTATGAGCATCCCAGTTGCTCAAACCTTTAGCATCACTTAGGTAAGCTCCTTCAAACTACAAAGTGGAAGACAAAAGAAAGCCTTAGAATTATGATCAATGAAATGTAAGGGAAAGAGTAGACTGGTAGAGGTGAAAAACCTGATAAGAAGAGGAGGCAGTCCCAAAGAGAAAGTTGGCAGGAAATGAAGAAGAATCTGAATTCCCTTTCAGAACAGTTTTTGGATCAGAAGATACAAAGAGAAAGTTGGCAGGAAATGAAGAAGAATCTGAACTCTCTTTCAGAACAGTTTTTGGATCAGAAGATACAAAGAGAGGTAGCAAAATCAGCTCTAAAAGAAATAGAGCTTCGCAAAATGAAGAAATTCCCATGCTAGATGATGCAATTCCTTTGCTGTCTATTGTAAAGCTAAAAACCTCTCCTTATCTGCATTTACTGTCTACTCGTTGAAACTCCTGTTCTTTTATTTCATTTCTATCCTAATAGCTTATAGTTTTTCAATAGTACCCCTATTGTTTCTAATAAGTTTCAATTTTACTCTTAACTATTAAAAAATATCGGACAAAAGCTCTTTTTTTTTTTTCCCTAGTTTTTTCCTCTTAAATCCCCATACATTCCATAAACATTTATAACCCTAAAAGAAATCAAGAAACAAACTGAAAAAGTAAACAATTTAATGGTTAGAGCTGATAATGCCACAAACATTTTAGAACTATAAAAATAATATTAGAAAATTATAAACTATTGGGATAGAAGTGCAACATTCATAAATCTCTAAGCGCAGACATAAAGTTTAGTCTCCAAATCATAATAGGGTTAAAGATCTAGTATGTCCCTCTACAGTTTCAAACATCTTAATTGTATCCTTATACTAAAATTTTCGATTATCGCATCCTTTTATTTTTAATTGTGTTTTCATTTGATCTTTGCGATCACTTTCTCAAACAATGAAAACAACTTCTAACATTTTTTGTTTTGTTATTTTTGTCTTCCTTGTTTAAGAAAGTGATCGAAGAATTAAATGTAGACTCAATTAAGAGCGAGATGGACATAATAATTAAAAAAATTAATAGAACAATACGATTAAAAATGTTGAAAAAATAGATAAAATTGTATCCCTGTGATGGGATACATATTGCAAAAGCACCAATTTGTTTTAGTAAATACAAGTCATTTCATTTGTATGCTATGTTGCAAGTTAGATAAAATAAAATTATTTCAATTTGATAGTTAGTGTTGTGTTTATGTTGTAGTTCTACAAAATAATATTGAATAAGAGATTAAAAAACACAAAAATGTATAATTTTATAAAATTAAAATCTTGTATTTAATTAATTTGTTTCGGAACTTTTTAACTCAAAAAAACATGAATCTTTTTTTTTTTTATGCATTGATTCTTAAATAAAAGATTGTAATAATTTAAATTAAAAACTTAATCTAAAATTCAAAACATGTTATAAAAATATTTTTTTATGAGATCATATCAAAAAATGATTTTCTTAATTTAATACTGATGAGAAAATTATTTTTTGAATATATATATATATATATATATATATATATATATATATATATATATATATATATATATATTTTCAAAAAATAATTTTCTCATTAGTATTAAATTAAGAAAATCATTTTTTGATATGATCTCATAAAAAAATATTTTTATAACATGTTTTTGAATTTTAGATTAATAAAATATTTCTTTAGTAATATTTCTTTATTCGAGCCAAATAGGTCAAACATTGTTGAACTTTAATCCATTTAAAAATTCGTCTTTTAACTTTTAATTTAGGTTTTGATCATCATTAAACTTTTATTTTTAGTATTTAAATTTAGTTCATGTTTTAGCTTCATGTCGAGTATGTTCCTATCCTCCTACTCTTTTTGACATGGCATCAATGTATTTGTTTCGAAGGAATAGTAATGGACGGATATATGATTTATTAGATCGATCATACATTTTGTACGGATAGTAATGAGTAAGTACGGATTCTTTAATTTAATTACATATATATTTACTCCTTTAAAAACTATCTTGTACATACTTACTAAGAAATTACTCTAAGCCCTTATTCAAAATATATTCCATCCATTCAAGCACATTTAAAACGGGTTCATAGTATGCTCCAAAGTTTATTTAGGACAATCAGTTTACATATGTTTTTCTTTAATACTATGTAGTTCGTAAAATCAATTCAATCTTCCAATCAATTTCGTGAATTCTTCACAGATCCTAGTTCAAAATGCATTTCTTTTAACCTCGACTCATCGCCATAGAGTTTTTTTTTTTTTTTTTTTAATTCAATCTTAATTATCTAATTTTATAGTTGATTCTATTCTGACATCTACAGTTGACAAATATGCAAAACATCTAATAGATTGCAAGCGTTATCAGTTTGGATGACCAATAACTCATAGTTTGTCTAGGCCTAGGGGCCTTAGATTGAGGCTATAGAGATCTCCATTGAACTGGAAGAAAAGTAAGGAAAAGTTTGGCAAGGTTAAGTGAAAAATCAACTTCTATGTTTCATGGAAATTAATAAATCACCTCTGCATTGATCTGAGATACCGGTATCTTATACTTTGCAATGAATTCTTTGTACCAAGCTGCTCTATTACTGTATAATTCTTTAGCCAATGACGGTATCATTACTGCAACGGAAAACTCTTCCTAGGTAGAATTCTTGCCCACGCAATCAAGAACCTATAGCTGTTGACGCCCGTGGAGTCCATTAAATCCATGTATTGCTGTGAACATTATTTAATAAATTTTTAGTTCAAATTGTTTATTCAGAATCACATAGATGATCTTGGCTCAGAAATTAAGGGAGATCTTTGTGGCTAGTTGGCCATGATTGCATACTTGAGACAACTGAAAATGTTGGTTCTTCATTTTCAAATCCTATTTTAAGAGTCTGTACTCTGTTGGTACTTGGCAGTAGTAAATAAGCCATGATAAATTTGTTTCTATCAAGTGGGAGACGATGTACATGACATGCTTCACTGGAGAAATGACAAGTCTTGGGTTAGACCCATCTGGTATATGCAAAAGATCAAACGCTTAGTGTGGATGATAAAGATATAGCAGTTACAGAGAAGGTAGCAGCAGCATCGCTTGGAAAGTAGCTCGCTAATTCAATAATTCGCTTAGTGTATTATTTATATTTGCTCAATTTTCTTTACCAATTGAGCTACATAGAGAGAGGATATCCCTAGGAAAGTACATTTCTGTGCTCAAGGTGGAGTAGTCCTTATCACTTCTCAAATTTGGGATTTGTCTACCTTATACCTTGCTATAAATTCCTTGTACCAAGTTGCTGATAATTTTGGAGTTCTCTTCATTGTGGTGTAATCAACATGGTAAAGCCCAAATCTTACGGTATAACCATATGACCACTCAAAATTATCAAGCAAGGACCAGGCAAAATAGCCCCTCACGTCTGCTCCTTTCCTGATCACATGGAAAAGAAAGCAGGGTTTAAGCTTTGTGTTTGTAAAATTCTGAACTTAGCTCTGAAATGGGATGCATGGCCATGGTAATAGCTAGTTGAGTCAACATGAAATGCAAACACAATATGAACTTACCGCATCGCTGCCAACAAGTAATCCCAGTAGTCAGACATGTATTCCACTCTTTCTATGTCATCACAAACAATGGTGAGGTTCGGATTGTTCAGCTGGCCATAACCTACATAATTCATTGCAATTGTATGAGTAAGACATGAAAAAGTTTGTCTGCTTAAAGGAATTCTAGTGATACTTACCGTTCTCTGTAATGATCATTGGCATGTTATTGTATCTCTCCTTTACATAGGTAACAATCTTCTCCATTCCTTGAGGATATACATTTAGCCAATCCACTCTAGTCTACATTAACCAAAAACCATAGGAAAATTCCTGGGAAGCAAAAATTAATTCTGATGATTGTGTTAACTTGAGAGGGTACATACAGGTTTGCCGATGGGAACTCCATCTTTTTCTTGACTTATCCGGGCAAAACCTTCTGTCCTGGAGGCTCCTGTTCCGGGTTCACAAATAGAGAAGATGCAGTCTTGGCTGTATTGAGTAGTGTAATGATTGATGCCAATGAAATCCAGTCCCTTCTTCAGTTTCTGTTGGTCATTACTTGAAAATTTCGGTAAACTAGACCCTAGAATTCTGGACATCTCTGCAGGATATTTTCCAAAAATGATTGGGTCCAAGAACCTGGATTATAGTTAAGATTCAACAGTTGTCAATGCCAAATGGATTTACTTACATTTCAACATGCATTGAAGTCATGTGAAATGATTGAGAATTGTAAGAAGGTAAAATAAATCAACCAGTTCATGAAGAAGTCTTGAGCTCTGTCAGCGGCTAACTTGTCTGCTGTGGAATTGCTAATAGGTTCATACCAAACGCAATCTATGACGATCCCAATGTTGCCTCCTTGTTCTTTCTGAATAATTTAACAGGGAGTACTAGTAAGTTTATCTTCCCTGAGTGTCTGCTTTCCTCATTTTTCCTTTTCTTTTAGCTGCCTCACAAATGATATCTAAGAAATTGTTATGATTTAAATACCTGGTATTTTGTTCTATAAATATCAACTGCCGTTGCATGGGCTAAGATCATATTATGTGCTGCAATAAAGGGCTCCTTCTCTGAATCCCCATGAGTGCAATTTCCGAAAGGACTGGAGCAGCGACATGGTGGGTATTCACCAGAGCGATAGCCTTTGATGGCTTGTATATTTGGCTCATTGAAGGTGGTCCAATACTTTACTTGATTTCCAAAGTTCTTGAAACAGATGTCTGCATAATATCCGAAATCCTCCCTGATTAAGAAAATGAAAGAAAGAAATCAGCTAATTCTTATAGCCTACCTATATACCTAGGTAATGGCTGTGTAGTTTATAGAGCAGCAAACTCCACTGGCTTGTACTTACTGGGATTTAGGACTTAGCCATCCCCCATATGTCTCCTCGAGTTCTTGAGGTACATCATAATGAGCTAATGTCACAAATGGTTGGATTCCTGAAGCAAGTTTGAGAAAAACAAATGGATAATTTAAACTTGAAATGGAATATATTTTCCAGTTTATGATGGTTTTTCCGAAGCACTTCTTTGGTTACAGAAAGTCAGAAAGTAACCTTTAAGCAGGAGAGAATTGATGAGCTTGCTATAGTAGCTAATACCAGCCTTATTAACATCTCCAAATTTCCCTTCTGTATCCAAATTGAAAAAAGTTTCATATCAGCTTTACATTTTTGTTATGTAGCTGAAAATATTCTGAGTTCATTAAGTTCTTACTTGGTAGAATTCGTGCCCACGAAATTGAGAACCTGTAGCTGTTGACTCCAACAGAGTCCATTACATCGATGTCTTCCTGTTAAGATTATTCAATAAATCTTTAGTGGAAGCTGTGCAGTCAGTATCACATAGATGAGCTCGTACTTATTGGGATATGATGTTGCCTTGACAACCTAGTTTAGCAATTTATTGAAGATATGCATATCTTTCTTTTGGAATACTTTAACCACCACCACCCTTTTAAAATTCTTTCGGGGAATGACCAATTATTTTCTTACATGAGGTAATTATTTAATGGACAAGTTGCATTCTGTCTAATTAGATGATGTCTAGATCATTTTAAAATTACAAATTAATTCCAACAAATAAGGCAAGATGTGATTTCATTATTCATCACTGTCAAGTATATGTCATGGGGCCTAAGCATAGTTAGCAAGTTTGGTAAAACATGCATGTTTTGGGGCCTAAGTAAAGTTGGTATTCTAAAACCTGCCCCGGATGCTGTTCATTCAGGCAACAAAAGGTACGAAGAAGGTCATATCTGTTTACCAGATAGAGATGATATTCGTCCACAGCAGTATCTCCATTGCTTCCATCAAGTATTTTGCCTGCAACAGGAAACATGAAGAAGTAGAGAGCAAGAAAAATAGCATAGACTAATTCCTGCTCGATCGAAAAGTCTGGTTTTCACCCTTTTAATGATGCATATCCATATATGGTAGATAGCCTCACCATGACTTTGCCATCTTTGAGTCTGAAAGATTGACAAATCTTTAGTCTCTCTTAGATATAAAAAAGAGAGAGTCCTTACCTGGTGTGTGGGTATGTATATCCCAGTTGCTCAAGCCCTTACCATCACTAAGATAACCACCTTCAAACTACAGAGTGCAAGAAAAATGTGATTTCCACCTATGCTTAGTCTGACAGTAGAAAAAACATTAAATTTTCTACCAACCTGATAAGAAGAGGAGGCAGTGCCGAAGAGAAAGTTGGGAGGAAGTGAAAGAGGATCTAAACTCTCTGTCAATTTTTTTGGATGAGATGATACACAGAGAGGAAGCAAGATCAGCTCTAAAAGAAACAGAACTTTGAAAAGTGAAGGAAGTTCCATGATAGGTAATGCACTTGCTTTGCAGTCTCTTGTAACCCAGTAAAAAAGCTCTCAGTATTTGCTCTTGCAAAATTAACTATTATGCAGAAGATGTTAGAGAAGATGTTGAAAATTTATACTTGTATGCCATGCAGAGAAAGGTACTCAACATCTGTATGAACAAGACAACCTTAGGTTATTTAAGTAGAAAGATTCTTTGTTGATAGTCAAACATTTCAGGACATTTTATATTTATAGAAAATTATCACTCTGGACCCCCAACATTATTTTAGTTTTCTTTTGAATCATCGTGAAGCTCACCTATATTACTGTATATTGTTTTTATTAAAAAAGTAATTGCCTTCTAAATACAACAGGACTTTTCGTCGTGGTCTGACTAAACCTGGGTGTCTATCAAGATCGGCATGAAATAGTTAGCCTCTGACATCCAACATCAGAATTGAAGGTAAATATGACACAGAATTCAAGACTTGTGAAAAGGCTTAGATAGCAAGTATATTATAATAATACTACCTTGCTGCTGTTGCTAGCATATATATCCTAGTAGCTGTTCTTGTCTCCTGTCCTGAACAAATGTTGTAGGAATTTAGGGATCACAGAGGATTTATATATGACTGCCAAAAAGGTGGTTTCTGTTTTGTTTGTATCTGGTTGATGAGATTTTCAATATGCTTTTCAGATTAAGGTTTGCTTACCTGAGAAAACTGCAGTGATAGCAATTTACGAGATCTGCACTTCCCAAAAATTTGGTTGGTTTTCGTTGTATTGGTAATTAAGAAATTTGCATTTATAGTCAGCTTCTTATGAATTTGTTTGCAGTTAACTCAGAGCCAAATGTTGCTAATGATCGTCGCCCATGCTGAATTTTTTTACGCAATGGCAAGCTCTGTAAAAGCTGCAACAGAGTTCATTTCATTGCTGAAATCTGACATCCTAACTTTTTTTTTTTTTTTTTTTTTTTTTCAGAAGTGTGGAAAATAGTAAACTTATCTGTTCTTAATTCATAACATAAGGATGATGAAAGGCATTGCATATTAACCTATGTTCTGTATTTTCTTTGCCCAGCGAGTTACAGAGAGGAGGTATCCCTTGCGGAAAGTACTTTGTTTCAGAGGGAAAAGTCCTCATTACTTCTCATATCTTGGATTTGTCTACCTTATACCTTGCTATAAATTCCTTGAACCAAGTTGCTGACAGTCTTAGAATTCTCTTCAGTGAGGTGTAATCAACATGGTAAAGTCCAAATCTTCT